CTGTGCATCTTAAATAACAATATGATTGAACAGAACCTTCATAATGACAATTCATTAGCCCTCTGATCGTTGAAAATATACGTCTCTAAAAATCTTTTTGTCTTAAACAGCACCATTGTTGAGCACAATCTTGGTGATGGTAATCCATTTTCATCTGATGTTTGACCATATTCCTCTCTCACAGTTTTTTTCTCTTAAATAGCAAAACAATTGAACAGAGCTTTCATGAGATTGCTATTCATTTGTCTGGAAATCTTTGGCTAAATTGGTCTGTCAAAAACTTGTTACCTTTAACAACAAAATAATTGCACAGAATCCCGATGATGATAGTTCATTTACTCTGTGATCTTTTACCATATGTCTCTATGAAAAGGTTTTGTCTTAGAAATAACAGAATTATCCAATAGAACCCTTGTTTTAATAGTACATTCACATGTGATCTTGGATCATGCTCCTGTCTCAAAATCCTTTACTCATAAAGAGCAGAATACTTGAAGAGAACCTTAAACTTGATGTATTTACCATGTGATCTTTGATCATATTTCGCTATGAAAATCTTTTTGTGTTAAATAACAGAATAATTGAACAGAATGTTGATGATGATAGCCCATATTTTATGTAATCGTTGATCATATTTCACTAGGAAAATGTTTTTTCTCTGAAGTAACAACATAACTGAACGGAACGTTATTTATGATATTCCATTTTTTTTGTAATCATTGATCATATTGATCTCTGAAAATGTTATTCTCTGAGACAACAAGATAATGGAGCTCATCCTTAATATACATAATCCATCATTTATGTGATCTTTGATCATATTTCGCTATGAAAATCTTTTTGTGTTAAATAACAGAATAATTGAACAGAATGTTGTTGATGATATCCCATTTGCTATGTGATCGTTGATCATATTTCACTATGAACATGTTTTTTCTCTGAAGTAACAAAATAATTGAACACATCGTTGCTGATGATAACCCATTTGTTTTGTGATCATTGATCATATTTCTCTCTCAAAATGTTATTCTCTGAGACAACAAGATAATAGAAGTGAACCTTCGTACAGATAATCCATCATTCATGTGATCTTTGATCATATTGGCCTCCCAAATCATTTTGTCTGAAATGAAAGAATAATTGAACACAAGATTGTTGATGATAATCCATTTGTTTTGTAATCATTTATGATGTTTGTGTATCAAAATGTTTTCTTCTCTTGAACAAGAAATAAATCGACAGAACCTTGCTGATGATAGTCCATCTCTCATGTCATTGTTGATTATGTTTCTCTATGAAAATGTTTTGTCTCTGAAGTAACAAAATAATTGAACACATCGTTGCTGATGATAACCCATTTCTTTTGTGATCATTGATCATATTTCTCTCTCAAAATGTTATTCTCTGAGACAACGAGATAATAGAAATGAACCTTCGTACAGATAATCCAACATTCATGTGATCTTTGACCATATTGATCTCCCAAATTGTTTTGTCTGAAACAATAGAATAATTGAGCAGAAGATTGCTCATGATACTCCATTTGTTATTTGATCATTGATGATGTTTGTGTATGAAAATGTTTTTTCTCTTGAACAAGAAATAATTCAATAGAACCTTGCTGATGATAGTCCATTTCTGATGTGATCGTTGATTATGTTTCTCTATCGAACAGATTTTTTCTCTTGAATATCATGATAATCGAAGAGAATCATGCTTATGATAATCGGTTGTTTGTGTGATCTTTGATCATGTTTCTTCTTCAAAGTCTTTTTTGTCTTGAACAACAGAAAAATTGAACAGAACCTTGCTAATGATAGTCCATTTGTCATGTGATCGTTGATCGTGTTATTGTATCAAAATGTCTTTTCCCTTGAACAAGAAATAATTCAACAGAATCTTGCTAATGATATTTCATTTGCTATGTGATCGATGATCCTGTTTCTCTCTCAAAATGGTTTTTCTCGTAAATGACACACAATGGAACAGAACTTTGTTGATGATACTCCATTTTCCATGTGATCGTTCACCATATTTCTCTATGAAAGGCTTTTTTCTCTGATAAAAGGTAATCGTCGAACAGTACCGTGCGTATGATAGCCCATTTTTATGTGATCTTTGAGCATTTTCTTTTCTCAAATGCTTTTTCTCTAAAAGCGCAACATAATGGAGGTAATGCTGGCTAGTGAAGATTTATTTATTCCGTGATTTGTGTTAGGATACAAGAGTCAAGCTTGGTATGGTTTATGTGGCATGATGGAAGAATGCATTGAAGAAAACTATTGAGCTACGATGAAATTCGCTAGTGGGTAAGACGACGGTATATTTTGTTTTAAGAAGGAAATTATAATTGAACAATGGCTTCATTGAAGTCGTTCGTACATGTTGTTATAATTTTTTCATTAACATCGGTAGGTTCTTATGAATAGTGATGAACTAAATATGTGTATTCTAGTTTTCACGCAGGCATTCAGCTTCGGATTGATAAATGTTATAGAAGAAGTCACGCCTATGATGTGAGGTAGCGTAAGAGTGTATATGAACCAGAGTTAATGTTGATATGCATGTAGATGATAATCATCGACTGTATTCTCAATTTCTATGCGTGTTAGGGAGATCTCAATGTATATGAATACCGATATAGTTTCGATCGTTTATGACAAGTAAGCTAAGTAATTGTGCCAATAATAGTATATATAATCATTATGCTAAAAAATATTCGAATATTCCTGCCTTAGAAACATTCTATTGCTATAGAGATGATTGCAAATGTTAGGTTTGGATAGCATTTTACTTTTTGGATATATGCGTTGGAACAAAATTATAAGAAATAAGTGTCTGAAAGCTAATTATGTTTGGTATAAAAGAAAGAAATGCACACACGAAAAAGACACATTGAAACTATTTAATATCGTTTGATTTTTAAAATATCTTAACTTTTTGTTTTTTGAAATGATAGTGGATATCTTGAGAGTAGGGTATCGGTGTGTGGATGGGGTTGTGAAGTATAGGTGTTGGTGTCGGTATGAGTCGCGTGTGAGTGTCGGTGTGGGTGTGCGCGACGATGGAGATAGCAGTTACGTCAAGCATCGCCGTCACACCCACACCCAAATCCTCATACAGCCACAACGACAACCATGATGTTCGTAGCACTATTGATGAAAGTAAATGCGATGCACAAAATCTTGATATCGAACAATATAGATTAGAACATCAAGGTTCTAAAGATTTTATGAGTGCATCAATGAAAGGAAATATTGAACCAGAAAAAGAATTTTTAGGAGCAAATTTAATAAGGGCTTCTTGGCATACTGTTTTACCCATGAATACCACTTCTTCAATGTTGACTTTAATAACTGCAGCTAAAGAAACTGTTGAAACGATCTTCATGTATTCTAGAAGCACAACGTTTGCCTAGTGATGCATTTCAAACGTAATTTACAGTTTATAGTGATTGTGATTATAAAAAGCACAAATTTCTTCAGAGTTCATCTTGGAAGACAAAGTTATGTCATTTGAAATCATTTATGAAAAAAAAATTAAAGCGAACGATTTTGGTGATTATGAAGAAGCGATTGAAATCGAATTATGGCAGAAGTTCAGCGATGTGAACAGTCAGAAGGAATTTCTCACATCATTTTAATAGGAGATGCTCCAGCAAAGGATAAGAAAGCAATAGACAGAGATAGACAAACATATAGTGTTGAAGCATATTGGAGTAAAAATAAATTTAAGATTCCAACTCATTATACAGTTGAGATACAAAAGTTAAAAGCTAAAACTATTCCTGTTCATGGATGTGGGATGTGGGGGTGGGGGTGGGTGTGAACGAAGTCAAGACCAGCACCGACACCCACACCCCACACCCTTACATTCAATCTACAAAATTCATTCTATTTCTAGTCAATATTATCTTCATAAACATTTAATAGACAATAATAATAAATCGTCGGATAAATTAGAAAATAAAATCATGTAACTACCAAAAGATATCAAGATACAACTTTTCTTAATGAGATGAGTATGAATAAAATAACAATAAAATTGTCTACATGAACACGATACCGTTTGAGTCCCGGTGGTACACATATGTACCACCTTGAGAATTTTCTAATCCTTAAGTTTTTGAGAATCTTGGAGAAATATTTTCGATAAATACGAGAAGCCGATAGAGGTCCGAAGAAGCTGGCACGGATGATAGGATGTATGGATGCCATTGAAAAGGTTTACCATGTCAAGTTGCTTTAGTTCGAAAAAGCTTTGACCACATAACCTGATTTTTTAAAATTTAATATTGTAGTTGATTGCGCTGTGACATATGCCCTATTTAGACATCAAAATTTGTAAAAATTTCTGGGTAAAAATTGTTTTTGTGGTGTCGTAAAAACTATGTATGTCCGTAATGAAATAAAACAATGTTTCAGCATTTATAATACCAATATTTTTTTCAAAATGCAACAATAACAAAAATGTTTTAATTTTCCTCTGGTCACGTGCTTTCTTTATCTAATTTAACCACATGCTTCATGATGTCGCCCAGTTAGTTTATATCAAGTTTCATCAAATTCGGTTCTGTAGAAAAAAATTCAAGCCTCAAAGGGTTAACACGATATAGGTCGGTCAGAATAGAATCTTTCGTTCTTTTGTTTATAGATCATAATTTCAATTCAAAAAGTTATATTTTCAAATAAATTTAAAAAATAATCAATGAATTCGTTTTATTCGTTATTAACAATTACTGATTACAATGTATTTTTCCAGTGCAGCGAGATTTTTTCGTATAAAACAAACTCACGTGTCATCTGTTTATAGTAATTATTTGACAAGGTGATTTCTTGTTTTTTTTTACTGCAACATTGCTCGATACAAATATAAAATGACATCATATTACGAAATACTCAAACTTTTTTTCTGTTGTCTTGCGAAATTACATAGTACATACACGTGTGCGTCATTTACTTTTGCAAATTCATACATAAGCTTCATATTAGGACACAATTATGGCAATCAATAAAGACCATATTCCAGAATTCAAATTAATTTTGATCGGCGATAGTGGTGTTGGTATGTTGGATCATTTGTTGCATTTTCTCTAATATACGATACTGAACGCTTGTAGGTAAAACAACATTTGTTACACGATATATAATAGCTGAATATGAACCGAAGTATATAAGCGACTTTCCTTTTAGTGTGCATCCATTAAAATTTTATACCGATTTGGGTGAAATAATTTTTCATGTTTGGGATACAGCAGGTCAAGAAAAATTTGGTGGTAAGTTAGTAAAATAGTGATCATCATTGATTATTTCTATTGTTTCTTCAATAATAGGTGTACGTGATCGTTATTATCTCGGTGGACAATGCGCTATTATGATGTTTGATGTAACATCACGGATGAGTTATCGAAATGTTCCTCTATGGCATAAAGATATAATTCGTAACTGTGACAATATTCCAATTGTTTTATGTGGAAATAAGATTGATGCGAAAAATCGAAAATTAAAAGCTAAATCAATAACATATCATCGAAAAAATAATGTGCAATATTATGAGATTAGTGCTCTGTCAAATTATAATCTTGAAAAACCATTTCTTTTGTTAGCACAAAAACTAACTGGAAATAATAATCTTCAATTTGTTTCCCAAGTTCCATTATTAGTATGTCTTGATATAATTTGAAATTCTTTTTTTTTCATAACATTGAATCATTTGATTTTTAGCCGCCTGCAATACATTTGGATCCGGATATACTTCGAGAAAATGAACTTCAATTAATACAAACAACATCTCATCCATTACCTAATGATAATGATGATGATGATGATGATTTATAAAGAAAAACATCTACATATGTCAAAAAAACCAAATATGTTCAACAATGATAATAAATCATTTTTCCTTTTTGGCTATATATTTGTTCTTCTTTGAAAAACTTTTAGTACTAGTTTATGATGTATACTTTGCATGTATAGATCTTACTTTTTCAATCGAGGTTTTTTCAGGTCTTGACCCGAAAAAAACTAAATTTCTGAGGGTGTAGGTATTGCTTCAACAAGAAGAGCTGAATTCACACCCAAACACTTAGAAACAACTTGTCAGTCCACATTTCAGCTCAAAAGAGACTGCACTGAAAAGCTGATTGAAATGAAAATACAGTGATTGCAAATATATATATATGTGCATTAAAGATGGAACATTCTGTCTACATATCATAAAAAATAGGTATACGTCGTCATTACAACATAAACAAAAACGAGGCTATGAAGTGTTGTTCTGATGAGTATAAACGAGAAAAAATAGTACATCAAGAGTAACAAAAAACAAAAGAAAGTCTAATTGTTGTCACGAAGTTTAGTTTTTGGGTGTTAATGAGTGTAATTTGTATTGATTGATCATCAAGTTTATAATCATGTCAAATATTTATTCATTTTTCAAAACAAAAAGAAAAAATTTTATTTTACCTATAGTATTACAGGAATAATCTGAATCGAATAAATACCGTTTAGGATAAGTAAACACTAGATAGCCAATATCATCACAATTATGACATGCTTTTCGTCACTTATGTTGTTGTTGTGAATAACATGTTGCCTATGACGATAAGATGATTGTTGCCATGTTGTTCAGATGCTGTGTTTATACCATTTGTTTGTGTTGTTGAACAAGAAGTCGGCACAAGTCCTTGTGAATTATTTTTATTAGCTGTAACAGCTACTGTTGCTATATTCGGAGCAAATAATCCTGTAAAAGCTATTAGAAAGATACAAGATTCTATTGAATTATAAAGAAATAGATATATAGTTAATCATGTTGCATGATGTTGATTTTGAGATGGACCATTAGATAAAGACAATAAAGAAGGAGGGGGGTAGTGACGGTGGTGTAGGTACGCCACCATGGGTTCCATTTGTTACTGTTGCTATTTCAAATAATTTTGAACTTGAACATGATAAAAAAGATGATCGAACACCTTCATAATTAATTAAAATATGTTTGTAGTGATGGCGATCAGAAGTAGATAGTGAATGAATGATTTTATTGTTGTTACATAAATAGACATTCATCGGTCTTAATAGAAGAAAACTTAATGAAAAACTGAAGATATCTCTGACATATCTAACAAAATCTAACCTGTTTGTTTTTTTTTTCGAACTTGTTTCAGATTTCCTCATTTCTCTTAAATATAAACAGAAATTTAATTCTAATCAAACATTCAAAAAGAACAACAAATTCTCGTTATCGACTATCGTTTGTGATTTCTATGAAAAAAAGTTTCAATGAATTAGATATTGTGTCTAGAAACTTTTGACTTATTCTTTATGTAAAAGTTTACTTCACTCGTAGAATATCTTCGCAAATAATCTTAATCTTCTGTAAGAATAAAGTCAGATCGTTGTATTCTATGAGTTTGAGTTTTTTTCTTCACATCGTATTTCTGATCTAGTTTGTGTACTCTCATGTGTTAGAACTATTGAACGAGCTTGTTTAACTACATCCATCTGTTGTTGAATAGGTAATTCACATTCTAAGAAAATACCAAAACACGTTTATATCCAAAATAAATTATAATACATAATTGAATGAAATTACGAAGAAGTAAATGAATAGGTATTATGTAATCATACATCATCATGATAAACAATATTTGATAAGTAATCAATAAAAAAAAACCATGAATTATTTGTCGTTGTATTTTTTGTTGTTCCATGAAGAAATTATTCCAAGTTATAATGATCAAGGATAAGAGCTAAGATTTTCCGAAGTTCATTGTATCAATAAGAAAAAATTTACTTCAACTGTTTTATGAATTACAATTTCATATGATCAGTAGACGTTGATCTTAATACCACTAAACATATTTCATGATCATGGATTCTTTGCTAAACAATCAAACTTCAATATTTTCGATGTGAATGTGGATCTTCTTTCTTAACACGCCCGCACTAGATTTTAGTAAACCCAGTGGTCGACGCAAGTTCGTGAAATTTTAGACAAGTGCATGTTCAGTTGCTATCAATCTTATATTTGCACTAAAAATGGACGAAAAAAAAATATCACAAACAAAATGTTTGATGATAGAAATCATTCATTCCATCATCAATCCACAAACAAGAAACATATATTAGAGTTACAGTTTCGATTTGACCATTGTAACTGGTAATCTATAATTGTTTCTGAAATTTTGCATTTCTGGCGACAAAAGAGGTGATTCTATTGATCCATAGCCAGCATCTGCAACAAGCATTTGAGGTGACAGAGATCGTGGTGTGACCGCCATTCGAACTAAGAGACAACAAGCCACTTCTTGACTCTTGTCAAGAATCATTGTTTGTGAGATGTAGAAGGCACGTTCATCCCATCCGACTAAACGAGCAATGAATGTAAATCGGTCGCCTCGTGACACACTCTGCAGATATTGAACCTGAATGGCACTGACTAGGAGAGATGTTTGAGGTTCTTTCTTTCTTCGAATTTTGATCGCGTCCCATAGTCCAGTTTCGCCAAGCAAAGCAAATCGACTAAAATCAGCTTCACGTAAATAGCGAGCATTATTCATATGCCAATTCATATCCATGTCACTCAATCCACAATAATTATGTGTGACCGATTCTATCCAGAGATTTTTCTTCTTTTGTTGACTGAATCGATATCGAAGACGAATATCAAGGGCACGTATAAAATAACCAATATCGAGCATCTTTCTATCAAAAAAAGACCAACAAGATAAAAATATCTTGGAGTACAGTGATTATATCAAAATCATTCTATTGACCAACAAAAGATAACCAATAAAAAAAAACAAGAGGACACCGTTCTATTGTAAACTGTCGTGAGAGGGTGTACGTTTTCGGCCACAAGTACATGATTCTTTGCACACAAATAATCAAATTCACGTATTTTCGATGAAACGTTTCTTCTTGATCTTATATTCTACATATTTCAAGATATTTCTATTTTAGACTTCACGGTATATGAAACTAGTATTCAACTCAATGACAAGTATTTGAAAATTCGTTCGCCGAGATATTTCCTACGACCATAATGAATCTTTGTTTAGCAGCAATATGCAAATTGCGATGTAAGTGTAAATAAATCAAATAAGAATTTAGTGCATAAGAAAACTAATGAAGCTATCTGGTTTTTTGACACTCATGTTTTAGCAGGAAGGTGAACTTCTGTTGTTTTTGTCAAATTGATGAAAAATTTCAAGTTCGATTGACTTTAAAAAAGCCGTCATACTTCATCACTGGATGCAGTTTCATTAAGTTGTTTCCGTTTGTTTCTACTACTCGTGACCGTCAATCAACTGATAGATGGTTAAATTTATCGATCAATAAACAACATGTTGTGTGATTATGTATAAAAGAGACGTGTCAATTTACGGATTAAATATTCGAAGGAATCTAGATCTGGCTCTATTAACTTGAGAATCTATTTTCATATCTGAGTTTTCTCAGATATTCATAAAAAAAAAAACGTTTTGGCAGTGAAAACAAAGTTCCAAATTTGTACAATGTCTTTTTGAGACACAATGAGAGTTCTGAATTTTTAAATGGTGTTTTCGATGAACTTTATTATTTCTTTGACCTCTGAAGGAGGATGAGGAATCAAAATTTCACTGAAAATGGAAAGTCACAGGAGGAATTTCCAACAAAAATAAGCCAGTAAAGTTTTTCATATTAATTTCAAATAATACTTTTCTCTGCAGTCAAATAGGGATCCTTCTGTTAGAATATTAATTTAAAAAATCCACCAATTCACTCTAAATTAGAGTAGTTAAAACAAAAATACTTCACTAGACACCAAACTTCAAGTTTAAAGTAAATGTCATGAGAAACAACACATTGAATTATTTGTTCAACAAAAAAAAGTCTAGCTAGTTCATAAGATTGTGTGGATGTTGGTAACACACAATTCAATATTCACACTCACATCCATACCCACCCTAATTCTTCTACAGTATTACAACAATTAGAACGTATTTTGGGTTGAAAATGAATGTGATTACTTAATAATTATCAGAAAAGCTTTGCCTATTTTTGATTTAAAAGATAAATTTTGTTTTATATTTAAACAACAAAATATAAAAAGTTCTTTTATTATTTTACACAGAATAAATATTAAAACTTTATCAGAATGAAATTTGCTCTAATTTTTAATACATTCGACAAAATAACATTCTTTAATCTTAAGATTTTCAACAGACATTATTTTCTTGATTGATTAATTTACAACTAAATTTATTTTTTCAGACACCCACATATTATTTTTTTACAAAAAAACAATATGTGTAACGAGTAAACATATGCAACTATTGAATGCTATTAGACTTCACGTGATGATTATGAATAGGTTTCAGTAAGACTAAAAAAAATTTAATAGGATTTAGATCTATGATCCGTTTTATTAAGAACAAAAAATTTCTAGAAACTCCAAAACAAAGAATCACGAAGTTTTTTTTCAAAAACTATCGCGACGCTGGAGAGACTTTCATAAAACGGACGCCCCTATGGAATAAAAACATGGCAAAAAATGAAATCGAAAATGAAAACATTGCCATTTTTCATCATGAAATGGACATTTCTCATGCATGTATTTCAAAATCATGCACGACTTTGGCACGTAAATCAGTCCATAAAAATGATTAAGAGTGTGGGTGTGGATGCGTGTAAAAGTCTGGTCTTTACTCGCATCCTGCCGTCACCCACACCGAGTCACAATACCAAAATACCTTTATTCCATATTTCGCAGGCTTGTTGCGCTTATACTGGCGAAATTTACAATGACCATGAATAGGTATTAGCTGTTCATCGACTGTTATTGAATCGCCTGG